GAGCATTTGAAAAGGTAACTGAAAGATACATTTAAGAGGAAATTATGACTAAAAGTTCAATGAATAAAAGCTTAATTTTTATAGTCATTTGTTCAACAATTATGTTATTTTGTATTTCAGTTCTTTTCTTTTCCGGAAGCTTTTTCCAGCTTTCAAGGGATGCCGATTCAATCTGGGTATTCACTCTGTGTACCCACTACGTCCCTCATGTGGCCACATATATAACCTTTGCACTAGACACTGACACACTTGCAGGTTCCTTAGTCCGTATTCAGCAGACTTAAGAGTGCCTTCCGCGACAACGCACATACATGAAAGGCAAGGGGGAAACAACCACGACGGGACTCGAACCCGCGACTCCCGAGCGAGGAGCTGACTCGGCAAACGCTCGAACCACCTCGGCACCACGTTCTTTTCAATTTAATTTATTTTTATCACATTAAAACACTAACAACCAACAGAGTTTTGTTCTTCTTCTCGTAAATTAAACAGCATCAAACCATCTGAGAAAACGACGGCGCAAAGAAAGACGCAAAAGTCAACACAGCCGATTATGATGCGACCGTCTCAAGACTGCCAGTTGTTCCCTCCTGAGAGAAAACCAGTGCCTCCGCTGCGACTCTCTTCCATTGTAACCCTTCATCCGGTGCTTCCACAAGTACTCAGGCTTTCGTTTGGGAATCTTCGGCCACTTTCTTGAATTGTGAGACGTAACTGCGTATCCACCATCATAATATTACTAGAAATTGTAGAATATTCCATACAAATCGTGTCTTGAATGATATATATTAAGCGCAATTCTAAATACAAAATAAAATAAACCGAAAATAGATACTGTATTTTTATATCCTTAATAACGAAGATATACAATAAAAGTTTAAAAAATATTTACACAAATGAAATAGTATGCCAGTTTGTTGAACTTACGTGTGATAATTGTTTTAGAAAGTATCTTTAAACAATCTGTAAATTGAGCCTCTGCAAATATAGAAACGAAATGTTCTTGCGGAAGGGAAAAAAAGTCGAATTAAAAAAGTAATTGGACTAGAAAATCAAGAGTAATTTCATAAACCAATTTACATAAATCCTTAAACACACTTCCTCAATACATTTTTGCCCTCTAACTGACAGCTAGAAAAGCAACCCAGATTCCTAATTCCTTAGCGCTTGATGAATTAAGGATGGTCTCTCTGGGCTGGCGGATGCGGTCGGGCGTCGAAGCCCGCCCGACGGGTTGCGAGGAGTGGGTCAGCGCTTGCAAAAGCACACAGCCCCTAAGGGCTTCACCCGCACATTTGAATGCATCTTCACTCGCTTCCTCGAGATCCTTTGAGCAGTGGTTTTCGTTATGTAGCTCATTGTGTTCCGTATCGCCGTTACATGACTAAATGGTACTACCAGTACATTCAGATCCTCAATTGCTTTTACGATGTTGAATCAATATGGTAGTTTAAAGTCCCATCAATTCGAAAACACTATTATAGAATGAACATGCTATCAATGTTGACATCAAATATTTTTCCATATATAAAGCATATGAGCAGTCTCTCTTGATAACAAGCCTTTCCTAGTGTTTTGTTTCTTCCTCAGAAACATGTGGTCAGAATCTCAGGTCCGTTATTGAATTGCTTTAGGTTTACAACCATTAAGTTGGGATAGATCTCGAGTTGAAGTCGGGATGTTCGATCAATTTCGAAAACCAAAAGCCTCTACTAAATATCGAATGTGAGATCACAATAACTAAAAACGAATTTGGTTATCAATAACTGTATGAGGGCGGATGTATAAAATTTAAAAACAATGACAAGGAATTAAAAAAATTCGAAGACTTGTGATATAATCTTGGACTTCTTGTTTCCTTTTATTGAGGTACTGATGGTTCAAAACTCTTACCAAAATCCTTCACATATAACTGCTTCGCTCACTAGAAATCTAAAGTCACTTTCTTTATATTACGTTCTAACTCTTTCATTCCTTTTCATATTGTATGTTTATTCCTGCATTGGTATCTCATAAAACCATTAACGTGTATGTGACCATAATTGTGTACAGTATTACAAGGTTAAATAACGGAGTTAGGTCAGAAATAGCCACATATTAGAAAATATTACATTATCTGGGTCAAAGAAACTTACTGTCTTTTTATAATATTTTCAAGGACATTTACCTTATAGGAATTTGTTACATTACTCTTCCGAATATAATATAGAAAAGATAATTTATCAACAAAAAGATTCTCGTTACAACAAATTCGTCAGTAATTATTTTCCCAATCTTATAGATTTAATGAAAAGTACCTGTGTACCTCTGTAATTATACAAAAACCTTCCTGTCTTGGAAGTAATAATTTTCTAGAAGTTTTGAATTGAAAGCGGCAAATCGGTTAATACATTTCTGTCGCGTCATTGGAAACAGTTTTCACCTTGTCAAACATCTTAATCATGATTGTATAGGGAAGAATCGCTAATCTACACCAGGGTTCTACGATGGACAATATATACCAACTTTTTATTTCATTGTTTCGTGCAAATTGGTTCTGAAATGGGTCATCTGAGATTCGATGCTTTTAGAAGACCACTGGGCCCCAGAAGAAGTAGAGCTGGTCGTGACTGGGCGGAGTTATTCATTGGCCCGTGAGGAGAGGCGGCGAGAGTGAGGCAATTACGCTGACGTTCAGACTGACTCACTTTCAGGATCCACTTGAGAATCACCTTGAAAGCCTGGAGCAGTCCTCGCCGGTAGCTCATTTTGATCCTCCTCATTAAATTTTGAGGTAAACGCCAGTAGACCTGATGCTAGTTTGTAACTAAATATTCCTTCGGTAATATCTAGTCATTTGAATGTTAAGTTGTTCATGACTCACATTTTTTAGAAACGCCACGAAACAGACTCGTAATATTTCGTTTGGATGTTGACTGAAATAAGCATTTTGCATAACTATCAGTTTCAGCGATTGTTTTTCAAAACACACATATCATATTGTTTTGCAATATGCATTTTTTCCACTTATTTCGTTGAAATTATTTGAAATCTATTATTTGAAGATTTCGGAAGTAAAGGAAGGAACGTAAACTGGACTGCAATCTGAAATGATCTTGGTTCGAAGAACCCGAAGATGACCGCCGCCACCAGCAGATTCACAGTCCGCCATTACTGAGGTGATCTCCTGCCATATGCAAATTACTTCGCTTAGGGCTACCCGCTTATAACTATAGTAATCGCGAAAAGGCCGCTCGCTTCCAGGGCCGGTCAGAAGAGGATGTGACGGCAGCGCGGGGGCGAGTCAGGGAGGGCATGAGGGGACAAGAACGAGAAGGAGAAAGAGGAGGAAGTAGGGGAGAGAATGAGTGGGAGAGGGAGAAGGAGGAAGATGAAAAGGAGAAAGTATAGAGGGAGAGTGATGAGAAGGAACATAGGAAGGATGAGGGAGAAAAGGAAAAAAGAAGGGAGGAAGGAAGAGGGAGGCGTAGGAAGAAGAGGAATGGAAGGAAGACAATGCATGAGGGAGGGGACCTCAGGAGGAGGAGGGAGGTGTGAAGGGATGCGGAGGAGCAGTAGTCGCTGACCGCCGAAGGTCGCCCAGGTGAGGCACGCGACCACTGCGAAAGCGTCCATCCGCACCGTGACGCGCCCCCTACGAAATATCACGCGGCCCTCCTCCACGTCCTCTGCTTCACCTCGCCCACGGCAGCTGCTCGCCGTGAAAACAGGATCAGCACTCGAAGTCGTAGGTTTTCGCAGCCGGAGTCATGTGAATGATCTGCGCTGTCTGGGTGTCGCCGCGTAGAAGGCTGTGTTGGCGACGTTTGGACCATCTTATTGTGGTCTTCCTAAGATGAGCGCTATAGACCAGCACTGAGAAAGACCACGATAAGACGGATGAAACGTCCGCAACACAGCCTTTGACGCAGTTTCACTCAGATAGGAAAGATCATTCACAGGATCAACACTCGCCCAAACGCACATTTGCCATGTAGAGTTATATATTATAACACGATAAATTGTTTTTAACTTCTAATCGCATTCGTCCTACCAGTTGCACATCGTATCACATATATCGAACGTATCGTAGGAATTTGTCATATCATGTGTCATATCAGCCACGTCCTAAAATAATTTGACAATAGTCCCCAATAAACTCTTGAGAGTAAGTTCAATGAGAAAAATAATTATTTGCAATATCACTCTTGGATTATCTGTAACATTAACTTTCCATGAATAAACATTATCGATATCCTCTAAGGAAGGTATAATAAGATGGAAGCTTGAGTATAGAACACGCTACAATGAATGGAAGATTATACTTTATAAAGGAAAGATTATACTGTAAACGTTCGTAGTCTCTGTATCTATGACATTTATCATTTCACAATTCATTTCTCATGAAATGCATTGTACCATACAAGTGAAAACTAGCATCTGAATTCGAGAACATGTTAAACAAAGCGTTAGAAATTGATCGAAACAAGGGAAAACTGAAGCACAGTTGATACAAATTATCGAGAATATAAAAGTTCTGAAATTAATGTGAGAAGATGGCAATATCAAAAGTCTTGTTGATTTTCTGTGTGTTAACAATTTCAAGATGTCTTCACTACAATATTGTTTCATTATTCTACGTATCGTTTGTTCATATTCAATTAAAAACCTGACACTTGACGATCGTAATGTGTAATAAACTTTCGAAGTAATAATTTCTTTTCCACTTTACTCGCTAAATCACGTTTTCTCAGAGCAGTTCCAAGAACGAACGCTCTTTTCCTTGAATTCAACTTTCGTATAAATGTAACATGAGTTGAAGACCTGTTTTCAATTCGAAGATTTCCAATCCCTTTTGTCGTAATGAAGTCTTGGAGAAATTCATGAATACTAAAAAGATGGTGTTGATTGTGAAGTCCGTATGTTGAACGGATCTGTTCAAAATAAACGTGTGTGTGTTCTCGCTGTGAAGTGGTATAAATGATCTAGTTGCAACATGCACATTTTCAACTCACGTTTACTCGTGTTTTCCTTTTTTGTGAGCTCAACCTTGGATGTTGTCGCCCGATCTTTCAAACTTCTGAGCTCATGTGTTCCGATAAGCCATCTGCCAAGTATGCCTGAAACGAAGTTACCCAACATAAAGATTACTTGCCATAAAAGAACAGAACATCGTTATGTAAAAGAAATACGTTCAAAATCCTACTTTAGCTTTCCAACCATATAATCTGGGATGGAATCTAACCCATGAAAATGTGCTTGTGTACTCGTACAGCGTATTGCATATTTTATAAAATGAACAACATAAAAGACGACTCTTAATAAAAACAAATCTTTCCGAAGGTACAGCTGACAAGACCTACGTCCAGCGTACTCTACATTGGACATCTGCTGATTAAGTAACTCGCAAGAGAAAAGTTTATTTTTTCACGTCGCTTCTGCGCTCACCACATTATTAACAGCCAACCGAGTACATACTTGACAGACTCCGTATTCGTAACACTAATCGATAATTCTTGTCCTAAGCGTTTCGGGCGCCTATTAACAAGACATTGCCTTAATGGCAAAGATCGGATGATACTCACGCCCGCGGAATGTTGTCGGCAGAAGATTTCGCGGAGGTGGCCTTCACCCGGGCGTTGGCGGACGGCCAGAAGGGGCCTCTGACTGAGACAGAGCACGCGAGCAGCACACGCGGAGAACTCGTCGCGAGGATAAATGTGCGTGTGGAAGAAGAAGAAACTACTCGCAACATTCAGCGGCCATTATTCACGCGTTGAATAATAACGAGGCCATAAATATGAGAGCAAATACGAGGGTTAGCGTATTTATGAACCTGGGGCGTGATGTAGTGGATTTCAATGACGGATGGAGGCAAAGACACCATTGGAGTGGCTTTGATCCGTGGGGTATTTTATGTTGCAACTCATATAAATTTAATAAGTTTTTGATTTTACAACACTTCATTATTACTGAATTGTCAACAAACGCTTCAAATCTGAATAGATTCTTTAGAATTGGTTTGAAGGTCCTTTAATTTTTTAAACACACATTATTTCACGTAATATGTTTTTATTATGCCTTATTCCGATTGAATAATTTTAAAATTTTGTTTCAAAACATCAATGAATAGATTCTTGTATTAAATGTACTTTCAAACACACAATATTTTAGCGGTTTTGCATTTTTTTTTCATGTCGCGTTTTTCATTTCTCTTTTCCAATTTCATGTTCCTTCTAGTGATAACTTTTGTTTAGTAATACGTACAGATGAATTTAGGTGCCAGTAAACAATAAAAAACAGTTTAAATCACAAAAAACAGCATGTCAGATGAATCGACCAAGGAAACTATCACTATTTATTCTATAATCTTCAAGACAAAATGTTTAATACAAGTATGCTCATAAAACAGATACTTATTCCAATATTTACATACCATTAAATTCATCTTATAATGCTTATTTCACGTTTACATTTTGTCAAAGATTTTCTTTGACAAATGGCGAACCTCATGGAAAACTGAACGCGCCAATAAAAAAACCTAACGAACATCATTCAGGAAATAATTAGAAATATTCGAAATGTATACAGGCAGTGCGTTGTACTAGAATTATTGTGTATTATTTATTATTTTAATATTTTAAATGTAAATATAATGACTAAGTACTAAGAGTGTGGAATTTATTGATATTGTATTATATTGATAAATTATAAAACAATATTGACAATATAATGATATTGTATGGCTAACAATTATTATTGTTGTTATTATTTGTAATTATTTCAATAAAATCTTGTACAGAATTAAAAACTATATATGAGAAAGTTGTTCTGCTAGCCAAGAGGTAATAAAAATGTATTCTATTAACTCAGAGTAAACAAATAATCTCAGACGCCCAGCTTGTACTTCGAAAGTGCCGTCCCAGGTGAGAGCTTATGAGATAAAGCAGAGTGTTGGGCAGAGAAATGGTTTTAAGCGCAAAACGATGCTTCTTTAGAAACCTACGGTGAACAATCTAATGCCAAGAACCGGCTTAGGTGTCGCTGAGCATCTAGTGATGTCATCGCAGCACCTCTGGCCGGGAAGTCCTAGGGTTCCAGTCACGACGGCGGCAGAATTTTTGACACAAACCAGATAGCTAGATCGAGTTCAGCCGTTGTTTGGAAAATAGGGACCTGCTGCTCTAATCGCTTGTTCTTCGTAGACTCTCTGACGAATACAAGGCTAATGCTGAAGCAGCACCCGAACATACGAGCTACAGACCGCTCTTTCCTTCCGCAACCTTGACCTTTTCTCATCCTTTCTTACACTTTCATAACTTACACTACCTGAAATGTTGAGAGACCAGGCGAGAGCAGTCTCAGAAGATGCTAAAGAGATTTGCAATTTCTTTACGTCTTATCCACATGTCGAATGATCGCCGATATAAGGGAGAAATATCAGAAATAAGTAAATTTAAACAAGTAATGAAAATAATTACAACCCAAAGTTTTTGTTTCATATTCCCCGGATTCACCCATAAGTCTTCGAAGGAGATTACTTAAATGGTCTCCCCCAAGCATAAAGGTCAAAACATGGCATGCTAGATCTTTAAAAATAAGTAAAATGTATATTTTGCAATATGTAGCCATGTCACGAACTTATTGAACTCAAAGGTTAAAACTATTTCTAAATAGTTCAGGCAAAACAAACATTTGATTATTACTTAAGTGACAGCTAAAACATTAATATACAGTACACACAGAAAAATAGACTAAAATAGCGATGCAATAAAATTCCAAGGATAAATACTTCATGAGAACATCAGTTGTATATATTTTACATAGTCCATTGTTTCCAGTGAAACGACGCCCTACATAAAATAGCAGGCGTATCGCATTGATAGAACATGTCAAAAGGAGTGGGAAACCGCTCTGCAAATGACAGAAAAGCAAGGGCAGTGGCGCACCCTGAAATATTTGAATATTAACTTCCTTGTAATGCGAATAAGGCATTTGATGTGACCCTGCATTCATGTGTCAGGCAGTCTATAATTACACAGACGTCTTTGAGTCAAAAGTAACGGAATAAATATTATTTTTTTAAAGTTTGAAAGCCATAATCTGCAACTCAAGAAACCACTATGTATTAGAGAAAATTCCTTGATATTTTTTTAGGAGAAGGACTTGACTCTTCAATAAAATTTCAAACGTTAAGTACATGATAGTACATCATAGAAATAATAATAATAATAATAATAATAATAATAATAATAATAATAATAATAATAATTTGTTTAGTAGCGGGAACATAAAACGAGTAAAAACTATTTATTTACAGGAAAGTCATGCAATCTTTAAAAAGGTTTAAGCCTTTTCTGTTAACTCCTTTTTTCGTCTGCAGAAATCCACGAACACTCTTATGCTTGAAATATTCGGCGTTCTGAGAACTGGTGTCCCGGAAATGAGCGCACTCTGCTTTTAACCCATTACATCCCAACGTTCTGTGCATGTTTCGTATTTCTGTCTCATTTACTCGCTTTCCATGAATTTCGGTAATTTTTTAAATTCCAGTAAAGTTGAATATCCGCTTCTTAGTTGAAGTAATACTGTCATTACTTTCTTTACCTTTAGAGTCTGTTAAGAGTAAAAACAAAACTCACACGGATGGAAACTTTGTCATCAAATTGGATAAATTTTTCTATGATACCCAATGACGATTATCATCGTAGAAAATAAATATTTCTTGCGTTCAACTTCAAGAAACCATACAAACTGATATATTAGCCTACAATCTATATCAGTTACACACCTGCGAAATCGTTATCGCAATTTCTCTTAGACGTTTTCAACGACATTGATGAAGTATCAAAAAGGAAGACTGGGAGCGGAGATGGCGGCGTTGTTTGCGCCAGAGCGAAGTGTGCCGCGTGCCCAGTGGTCGCCGAGGTAGAATGTTAAGGTCAAAGCAGAAAGCGAACGGCAGCAGCAAGTGGCCGCGTGCCCATCCGAACTCCTTTCGTACGGACGCCGCCGCAGCCAAGAGCAAAGCGCGTGAAAGTCGCTAACAACTGCTTTGTGAGGCGGTGCGGTGGGAATGGGCTGTGGGCTGGGCGCGGGCGGAGTACGGACGGGTGGGGCGCTGCCTGGGCGTGGGCGGAGCGGGGCGGAGCAGGGCGGGGCGGGGAGCCGGCCT